CCGTCTGCGGCTCCTCTGTTAGTGTTTTTTTCTTTCTCTTTTGGCTGTGAATTATGCAGCTCCTCATAAAGTGACTGACACTTCACACACATTCAGATTCAGAACGTTTCTTCAGGCAACATTAAACTAAATCTCCAGCCAGGAGCGAAGAATCCAGACTGGGAGGTACAGTGGTCCAGACCAGAAAACCAGACCCCACATTAGGAGTAAAACTGGAGTCACAACTGAACATTTAAATGTACAACAGCTCAAAGATTTGTTTCCCAAATAATGGAAGAGGGTTGAACTACATTACCCTATTTGTAGTAGCATTTCTTCTGTGGCTAATGTTCTTTTAGGAATGGTAAGATTGGTTGCTCAATGTACTTTGGCGGTCTACGTGGGAAACTCACAGAGATGGTGAGAGTGTACTCGCCTCAGTTTCTCTCATGGCTGATAAACAACAGTAACACTGAGTCAACAACTAGTCCCTGAGGCTTTGAGAACATACCGTTAACACTCAGGAGAGAGTTGTTGATTATAAAGATTTCTAATGGTTTTATCTTTGTTAAAATGATAAGGTAGGTTGAGTTCCAGATGCTAGTGGAACAGCAGTTAGTTAAAAGCTCTCTGTTCAGTTCACTTCATATCTCACATCTTATTGGTGGGACATTAGATGTATCGTTAGCGTCAGTGGCTGAGCTGGACTCGGCTTGGATAAAAGGATGAAAGTGGCACGGCTGGTGTTTTCAGACATCTGAACAGCCTCTGAGTGTTTAGGGGTGCGTATGTAGGCTTACCAAGAGTTGGTGGTATGCAATCAGAAGTGCTGGTACTCCCTACTGGTGAGTACGGGCTCATTTCACTGAAAAGTAGCATTGCTGGTAACTGATTAGCTGGTGTCTTATCTGCTGAGCTGTTAATGGGTGGAGGTGAAGCTTCGCCCGTCTTGGTAAATAAAGATTAAGTAAGATGAAGGATGAGCCGGGCTGTGATGTGGATGACTGGTCATCAAGACAAAAGACAACAGAGGAGCTGCACTCAAATAACATCTATGTGTTTAGAGAGACAACAGGTTGACAGAGTGGAGCAACATTCATCCTGTTTCTCACAGGAAAGGAATTCACTCAGTTTGATAAAGACACGCAGAACCTGAACAGAGACGGCTTGATTGATTCATTCCAGAGAAACACGCTTTAATCTGGGGAGAAATTTGCTCATTTAAAATCACAGTTGACCTCAAAAACAGAAACGTTTATCATCAACGGTTTTAAAATGAATATACTCCAACGCGACGGTTCACTGACACTGAACCAAACTATACAAGCATTGGTCTCGGTGCAGATTAAAGAATTAAAACTAATCAATCACAGTTTAGCAAATCAAGTAATGAGCTGAAAAAAATCTATTAAACACAGAACATTATGCTGGTTCACTGCTGAGTTTGACATCACTGGAAACTAAACCCCGCTGGGTATTTGGACTGTTGTTTGAAGTCTGATGACATTTAGCTTCCTGTGGGTCTTTTTCAATGTAACCACTAAATTAACTGTAGAAAGAATCGGTCAATGATGGCTGATATCTGCCCAATGTCCGACCCAACAGACATGAAAACGAAAATGATGATTGCGACACCTCAAGTTGTTGAACGTTCTCCTGGATCCATTCTATATATATTCATAAATCCATTTATAACTTCGTCATAATTTGTCCAAACTGTAAATTTACGATGTTGGTTTGTTGTTGACACACAACATCTATTTCCTGTCTGTCCGTCCTAGAAGAGGGATCCCTCCTCTGTTGCTCTTCCTGAAGTTTCTTCCAGTTTTTGGGGAGTTTTTCCTGATCTAAGTGGAGGGGATAAGGATAGAGGGGGTTGTGTGCTGTACAGATTGTAAAGCTCCTTGAGACAAACTGTGATTATGATATTAGGAAATATCAGAGGTTCCCAAACTTCTAAACCTTCTTTTCCTTTTCGACGGCTTCACTTGGTACGTCGTGCCAGTCAAGAAACTTGCCAAGCTAAGAAAGAATAAATAAATAAAAGATTGGATGATGTTCAGTGTGTATTCTGACGTATCTCTCCACCAAGTCCTGGGAAAACCAGGTTTGACTTTGACCTCTGCAGGTGGGCCAGATTATTTCTTGTTCATGCTTCCTCCAGTACTTTGGCACTTTTCACTGGTCAATAATGTCTCATGAAGTTATTGAGTGTAAACACAGAATCTGCCTGAACTTGTTTGTACGGAACTGAGCAACAGCTCCTCTTCCTGTTTCCCTTCCAAATGCTGTCAGAGAACACGAGGAAACCCATTTTTTATAGTCATTTAATTTCCCACAACATGCTGTGTTACAGTTAGAACATATAGAACAGCATTTACTTGATGTTCAGGAAAGCAACAGTTATTTTAAAATCCTTCTCTTCCTGTTTTCAGAGCGTGAAGATCCTGACGTACCGAGAGCCTCAGAACCCCGAGTACAGAGACTTTGTCAACAACCTGAAGACAGACGCCTTGAAAATGTTCAACTACACCATAGAGGACTCACTGGTGAGAAGTGTGCATGTTTTTGGATTTGTTATACTTTATTTGATGGGTCCCAAAACTGGCATCCAACTATACAGCACTCAAAGTGATTAAAACAAAGTCCTGTTGTCCCGGAGGCATTAAAAATAGCAACTGGGACACAGATACAGTGTCTGGGACAGTAGTGAAATGTATCGTTACAGAATTATTATGGTTATGCATCATGGAATATATATTTTAATTTCCAATTTAAAACATTTTATGGCATGCAAAATCAATCATAAAGAGACTCAGTGTTGCCAATTTTTTTTTTGTGTTTGTTTAGACCCTCTTAGCAACTTTATTTTTAAAAGTGACAAATTTATCAGGGTAAAGGGAAGAAATACATATTGATATATATATATAAATATATTTTGAAAAATATTCATTCCCATGTATGCTACTCAGATTAATCACAGTCTTCTGCAAACCGCGCCAAGGTCTCTACCTCTCCTCTTGGGCCGTGCACAGGCAGTTAGTAGGTGTGAGGCAGGTTTGACCTTCTCTCTCACTCTTTCTCTTGTTTTTACTTCATGTCCCTGTCGTGAGTTTGTTATTAGTCATTAAACTACATTCATAATATAGAATAAAAGAAAACCCACAGTTTAAAAGGCTGTTTGAAGGTTAAGACTTGGTTTTACGGTTAGGGTTGGGTTCAGGTTAAGGTTAGGTTAAAAGGGTTTGGGAATACATTCTGTCAATGATGGGTCTCCACGAATATAGTAACAGTAAGCCTTTTCAATTCCCCTAAAACAGTGGAAATATCTGTATACCTTCCAGAAAAATCATAAAAACTGGACCTGTTTTTGAAAATGGTTTCATTTCTGACTCAGAAAAATATTAAAGTGACACTTATAATGATTTGTTGGAATATGGCTCACATTTCTCCACATGTATACACTATATCTGCTTCTTTTGCTTTACTAATCTGGAAATACAAGAAAACCAGGTGAGAAACAACAACACGAAAAATGAAGCAAAGAAGACTTGCTTGTTTGTTAGTAATGCAGGTGATTAGTATGATCAGGGTTCATCCTCTGGAAACAACCAATATCAACAGGAAGTACTGGACCAACAAACATCCCCGCCCTCAGGCCTTACTGCTGGTGGACAAAGACAGATATTATCTTAGAAAAACAGAGGAAATTAGGTTATTAAACATAATGAACCTGACAGATTCAGCACTGGAAAATATCAACAATGTATAGATGAGAAAAGACATTATTATGCAAATGTATAATTAGCGTTGTCAGAGCTGTCGGTGCAGCTGGATGACTGAGCCAATTCAGTTTAGAGGAGCTAATTTAGTCTGCTGATCTTATCCCGTCGCCTCATCCTGCACAAAGGTTGAACATGACACACACACAGAAAGAGGAAAAACAAAGGCAGTGCAGCTCTCATGCTTCAAACCCCAGATCAACTCAACACAACACATTTCTAACTGCTGCTGATGCTATCAGCCGAGATAAAGATTACACGGTGTAAAATACAAACTGCCCTTCACAACACAAGTCTGGAGAGGAGGTGAGACATCTTGTTTTGTGTTGGGTTTTAGGCACTGTGCACACTGAATATATCAAAACCACATTTATAATTGGCCTTCAACAGGGTCAGACTAGGAATTAGGGATGGGGAGTATTCACCCTTTAATCTGGTTTACAACGGTGGTATGATCTTAAATAAAGTCAAAATCAAAATGATGCTGAAATAAATTGTGTTTTCTTAATGAAGTTTGGTTGATCAGGGCTATGATAACATAGTTGATAGTAAATTAACCTCTGTGGCTCACAGCAGGACAGGGTGAGAAGCGACAGTGTAGATAAATCCACTTTTTAATCCCAAAAGTTTAAAAAATAAACTCTGTAAATGTCTCCAGATCAGATCTGGTGACTCTGGGTGTGTATTGATCCAGAAGTTCAAGCAGCTGTCTGTGGGCAGCAGTAGCAGCTCTGTCTCTCCCTCCACACACAATACTACAGAAGTTGAATATTTTTTTACGTGTGTTCGCGTCGCCCAATTCGCAAATTGATGTTTATTCGTGTCTATTTGCGTCTTTGATTTTGTGTGTAATCTACTTGAGTAAATGATCTTATTCGCCTTTGGTGGGAACTCACTATTAGAGTCCTGCTCGGAGCCTCTGCAAATTACTCAAACTACGTCAAACTACTCGAAACCCCAGTTAGTGAATATACTCTACGGCTCTACTACTGTCTGTCCTCTCACCCAACCCTACTAGGGATGTCACTCTCATGAGTTTCTAATAGTTTAACATTGCAGCTCTATGGCAAAGAGTGAGAAGATATATCAGGCTTTACCTGCCATTTATTGACAAGAACAAAAATCGAAACGTGTCCATTGAATGTATTTGACTCTTTTGACCACTGTTCTTAAAAGCAGGAATACTAAAATGAAATGACTCATTCATCGGCAACAACAGCACTGGTAGTTTATGAGCAGTAAGAACGTATTCTTTAAATGCGGAAAATCAAAAATTTATAATTTAAAAGTTTGCGTGACACCAACAGCACATCCTCAGGGATGATGGGATGTGAAGTGTGTCCAGTAATGTGTGAATTCACTCCTCTGTGTGATCAAAGCGAGGAGCAGCTTTCTATCTGTTGGTAAGGAGGGGGGAGGGAGTTAACGAAACATATCAGGATATAAAAAGTGTCACGTCAACTGGCAGATATTTAAAAAAATCTAATCAGTTGTGGTATTTTGTGAAGAACAGCAGGTCCTTGAGTTCATGGCTGCTACAGATTCAGCCCGTCTGAGGTGTGTGTTTGTGTGAAATGTCTCACACATTACTGACAGTTTGGAAGTTAAAGCTTGAAACAACACACAGAAACTGTGGCCAGATGTATAAACGATATCCATGGTATTTATAAAAACAGATGGCGAGAATGTGTACAGCTCGCACATACCGCTACACTGTGACGGTAAGGTGGACATTAGAAATAAAGTGATGGATGTAATCTAATACGCTAATATTAAAACTGTTTATTTACACAGTCTAACCGGATACAGTCTGCAGCCGGTTGGCTTAGTTTAGCACAAAGACTAGAAACATTATGATTTGGGTCTAAAGCTCTTGCCAGCTCCCTCTTTTTCTTCTCCTTTCTGTTCTGGCATCCTGATCTATGTGCAGGTCCTGGCACACAACAATCTTATATTCAGGTGATTATACATTAATGAAAACATATCTATGGATATTAAATTCCATTTTCTGCCAGTAGATCTTCCTCAATGTTACACACTGGACCTTTTTAATAAGTAATGGTGATTGCTTAAATTTAGAATGAACATTCCTGCTGGCCTCCATTGGTCTCCGTAGCGATGACAAATGATCGATATGATGGATGATGGATAACGTTAACAGTTACT